ATGGGCGTCACACATGGGGGGGGGGGGGGTCCGGGGGTGAGCGTCCGACCCCCCAATTGTTTTTCGGGGGGGGGGGGGGGGGGTGAATATACTTGCCCCCCTCTCCCCCCCCCCAAAAAAAAAAAAATTTTTTTTTAAATAGTAGGCCCAAACTCCTATTTATTTACAACAATTATTAGGATTAGTTAAGATTCTATCTGTATAAAACCTGTACATATTCCAATATGGTTTATACTGCTAAAATAAAACACAGAGATAATGATCCTGGAAACATTTGTGAAGTGAAAAGTACCTGTGTTCCGTAAAATTGTGTCTAGTTTGCCTGTCAGTAATAATTTGTTAATTTTTTTCTGCCACTTATCAGAGTGAATCGCATGAAGGTACCCAAAAACATAACCGCCTAAACCAAATATTTATCGCCCGCTCAGCCAGCAACGTAACCATAATGCTTTTGCACGCGGTGTCTTGGTAGACAGCATGGCCACATGGTGTTTGTTTATATTTTTTAGGGGTTTTAAAAAATGGGTTAGGGTTAGGGGTTAGGGTTGCGCCCCCCCCCCAATATATATTTCACGGCTACGCCTCTGACGCTCCATGAGTGTTTTCGGGGAATCCAGTATTTTTCTAGTAAGATTGGATATCTCTACTTTCCATATATACCAATATTGCCATACTTTTATTGGAAATAACCACCCGATAAATACTTTTCTGGGAACCCATCTTTAAAGCATGAGATAAAACCACCACACTTCACAGTTCTGCAAGTTGAATAAATTTAAGCTTCCATATTTCATCAGACATTCGCAGGTGTTGAGTACAGTTGACTTCTGACTCGACAACCATTTATACAGCTGCCTGAAACAGAAAGATTACCTACAGACATTTGTAGAACATTTGATAAAATAAAGTTTTCATCTATATATCCAAAGAAAGTCGATTAACTGTACTCAGAATAATAATATCGTCGACGCCCGACTTTTACAATTATAAATGACGCGAGTAAATAATCTTACAGATTAACTTAAACGTTATTAAAGAATCACTTCAATAACGATATAAAACAGGGACGTAGATATTGAAACTATATTTTGCTCCGTCTGTGATTCATTGTCTTTATCACATTGTCTTAAAAAGTTATAAAAATTGGAAAATATTTCTTCTCTATGACTTTTAAGGAGTGATATCATGGCGTACATTAATATTACACTGAAAGCGTCATAGAATATACACGAAAATACACGCAAATCCGGTTAATTATGAATTTAAACATGATTTACGTCCTACATATGGTGTAAGTGATGCGATTGAAGGTAAAGTATACCCGGAAATATTAGTTAACTAGGTTGATATTCTTAGGCAGTTACATAATTTATTTTAGAAAATATTCCAAGATATATTCCTATGTAAACCCTGACTACAAATGCCTAAGTACATGTATATACTGAATTACATTTGACAGTTGAAATTCTAAGAAGATTAGGCGCAAATGTCACTGCTCGAACAGGTTTGGTGCCGAAAAGTAAGATGTAAAATCCCATTTCATTAGTGGATTAATTCTCTGGGACATTGACACACTTGTTTTGTTGTTATTAAAGAGACGAGTGTAAATCTTTTTCATCATATATCTTAGTAGTTTCTGCTTCATCATCTGGAACAAATGATGTGGGTTACATTGATCTATTATAATGTTTATTTATATAAGATGTGTTTTAGACATGTCGACTAATATATATTACAACATACTATACATGGGTGAGTATAATATTTCCATGCTTATCATGCCCGAGAAGATCTTCTCGGGCGTTTCTTTACATTTTTACACAAGAGTTTTGGTCGGAAATTCAAGATTATTTAATTCAAGAATGGAACAAAAATGTAACTTGACAATGGATGGATTTCAGAGCATGGCATGTTAGGATTAAGGTACATATACAGAAGAATTTGAACACGGGGTTATGACTTATTACTTGCAGAGAATGTGATTTATACAACTAGAGCGTCCACAAGATTTTTCAAGGTGATCAAGGGCCATAACCCTGGCAGTAATTATCGGAAATCGTTGAAAATCGATAGGCTTCTTCGTCTCACGACCTTAAACACTGTGTATAAATTTCAAGTTAATCCGATATTAAATTTAGTCTCTAGAGCGTCCACAAGATTTTTTAAGGTGATCAAAGGCCATAAGATTTTTCAAAGTAATCAAGAACCATAACTCTGGCAGTAATTATCGGAAATCGTTGAAAATTAATAGGCTTCTTGGTCTCATGATCTTAAACACTGTGTATAAATCTAAAGTCCATCGGATATTAACTTTTGCCTCTAGAGCGTCCACAATGACGCATTGTGGACGACTGACGGGGGGGGGGGGGGCGACGACAATATACGACCACATTTCAATGTGGGCGTATAAAAACACCCCTGGGGAAAAGAACCCACAAAGGGCAAGAAGCAAGTAAACTATGCCTTAGATGCACGAAAGTAACTATCAATAGTCGGCTATTGCATGCATGACCCAACAAATCAAGCGAACAAATCAAATTAGGTACGTTTTGGCAATCCACACTAATTTGTTCAATCTATTTAATCGTGGAAAGTAAATTTTAAAACAAATATGCAACAGGAAAACCGTTTAAGCTGACTATCAATGTTACCATTCATCGTGCAATATGGCGTCCACAAGTCTAACCATGTGGATGCTTTTAGTTTATCGATCAATATCTTGTATATCAAGGGTGTCGCGTTTCTAACATTTCCAAATGACATCTTGAACTCAACCTTTAATTTAATGTAGCGTTTAAACGGAGATTTCTAGACAGAATTTGTAAGTTTATCCTAGTAGCTGTTGCCATCCATCGAATGTTAAAATATATGAATAGGTGGACCATCTCCTTTAACTCAACCTACTCGGATGGCGTAAGCGAGGCATACTGTGGAAGATACAGGAAACCTGTAAATTTGTAAAATATTCCATATGAAAGGTTAATGATAGTAATTATGTATATGATGAGTTGTTTTAGATTTTCTGGCACGTTAAAACAGCAAGATGGATGATATTTCACCACTCATCACATCACAAGTAAAACTACGGTATCTGTAAAATGTAAGAAACCTATGTAATGATTGTTTTTATTGTAAACTATTTCACTAATAAAAATGTTTACTTTTTCTACAGAAATATTATGAACTATGTTTTCATAAATCTATTTCTATATTCAGAAAAGATTGATGTCTTTAATCCCCTGCGCCATTATTACACTCGACAATTTGGTTTGGATTCTTGTAATGGTTGTGGATAAAATAATATTTAAAGTCTATATCCGGGGACTGACTGGTAACCAATGATGGGTTTGCGAGAACTGGGATTATGTGACAGCGATATAAGGATCTTGTGACCATTCTTGCTTTGAGATTTTGCAATCGATGAAGGCGATTTAGTTGATTTTGAGGAAGGCCGGTGAAAAGACTGCTACAATAACCCAGACAAGATAGAATCGATGATCGCGCAAGAGCTGAAGCTGAATCATATGTGAAAACATGGCGCATGGAACTGATGTTTTTCAGATGACAGTAGCATTTTCTACACAGATCATCAACTTTTGTAAAGACCAGGGCCCTGTTTCACTAAATTTTAACTTAAGATAAAATCCGAATTTTAGTAGATACTTCAATTTTGATTGGGTAAGCACTAAAATCAGTCTAATATTATCCAATCAAATTACTAAAATTTTTATTTTATCTTAGTTAAAATTTCGTGAAACAGGCCCCGGGCTACTATTCAATAATACGCTTAAATTTTTTACCACTGATGTTGGTGGAAATTCAATATCTCCCATGTCCAATTTTAAGTGCAAGAGGTTCGATAATCGAGTTTTTGGGACCGAAAGGGATAAGTTCGGATTTATCCGCATTTAGTTTCAAGCGATTTAAATCCATCCAGGTTTTAATTTGTCTGATCTGATACTTATAGACATTTTTGTAAGCACCTCTGTTTGATTTGATACATGAATAAACGAATCTAAAAGTTGAGTATAGTCAGCATAAAGGTGGTGACAGTCAGAATTTTGATTTAGAACATATTCAAGTTGCTTTGTATACATGGTAGATAAAACAGAGCCTCGAGGAACACCACACACTAAAGGAACACATTCTGATTTGACGGAGTTAGCAATCACAGATGAAAGATAAGATATGAAACATCCCAAAACATTGCCGTTAATACAAAAGTCATTGTAATTATGTGAAGCAGGTTTTGGTGTCAAAAGCTGTGAAAAGATCTAACGAAACACGTCCCTGGTCGACACACATTTTATGGTCATTAACAACTTTGTTTAAGGCGGTTGCAGGTCCATGATGGGGTCTATAAGCTGACTGAAAATTTTAAAATAGGCTGTTTTTCTCCAGATGATAAAATAACCGTGTTTTGACTGGGGTTTTTTTTCTCCAGAATCTTGGATAAAAACGGCAGATTGGAAACCGGTCTTTTAAGTTTTAAGAATATTTGGATCGAGGGATGGGTTTTTGAGTAAAGGTTTTACCACAGCTGATTTAAAGAATGCGGAAACAGTACCGTATAAATTAATAATAGGTCCCTAACCGAATTCCCGCTATGAATGTTATCTGAACCTATTTGATTACTCTGCTGAAGTCTTATTGGTGTGTATTTTGCATTCTGTAAAAGCCTTGTTTAATGATAACCCCAGCTTGTTTATTACCCAATATGATCAGGGACCTATTTCACGAAATCCAAATTTTAGTAATTTGATTGGATAATATTCGGTTGATTTTAGTGCTTAGCCAATCAAAATTGAAGTATCTACTAAAATTTGGATTTTATCTTTAGTTAAAATTTCGTGAAACAGGGCCCAGGTGTTTATAATAATTACACTTATTCTAATTCCAGAACCAATCAGTGTCCAAATCTGGGAAGTGTGCTGCCCATGTTCAATGGCAAAGTGGCCAATGCATAAGAATTGTCTATATTCAAACAATAGACAAAAAAGTACTTTTATAAAAACTCAACAAGTTTATTCATCTATTAAATACATATATAGTGCTAGTAAAAAGAAGAAACAGATCTGAGTGTATAGAAACATACAAGTCTAAAGGCACAGTCGTGGTTTTATATGGATTCTTTCTTATACGTAAACATCAGAGCTGTTTCAAACAAATTATTTATAATAATACAGAGATAGTTTACACAGTAAAATAATACATAATATAATTACGCGGTCGTAATAATACCAACCAACTATAATTGATAATTTATGTCTTGTTTAGTAACAGCATTTCTGAAACTCCTCACCCGTACCTTGGAGGGATTTTTTGAATTTGACTTAGATAAGAATTGTCATAAATCATTATAAATTCTCCCTCTGCTCAAGAAGATTATCCAAAAGACCATATGTTTTTGCATTACAGTACTCGCCTGTTTCAAGCTCGAAGGTAACTTTCACACTATACAACACCAATGGATTTATAAGAGATAATACTCAAACATCCAAATTATCTCATATTTTATTGCATCGTTGTCACAAAAATTGAAAAAAAAATCATTACGTTGGTTGGTAAAATACTAAAACATAAATTTGGCACGATAAATAATAATTCTCTAAATCCGCCAGACCATTTACAATAAAAACAAATCTATAAATTGTTATAAAATGAAACAAATTTTATAAAATCATACCCTAACCTTTCATCAAACTAAACATTGATACCACTTCAATCCAAGTGTAAACTATTGCTCCATGTGCGCAAGGCAAGGTATGCTTACTTTGCTAGACCAACCGACGACACTTCTCATTTTAGGAGTTCGTGTACTTGACAATGTTTGTAGTAATATTGCATCTTGATTTAGATACTATGAATAACAAATCAAATTATCAGCATGCTGATAGATATCATTGGCATTATAAAAAAAATCATTTATTGAGATTCAGCAAAGTGCCACCGAAAACATGAATTTTCAGAGAAGTAACTGTACAGATCAAAACTAAGATTTATTTTCGAGACAAAAACAAAACTAACATTTAACATAATACTGAAAGCATGCAAAGTACAATATCAGATTATAATGATACTATTTACAAACATACATAGATTATATTTAGAAACATGTTTATAATGGTATAAAATGATGGGTGCTACGTTTTTGCTAATGTAGACTATCTATAGATTGTCGGTTCCGTATAATTTTATAACTCAAGATCCCAAAATAGGCTTACGATTTTCTCTTTGTGTGTGTATGTGAGTACGCCCGTGTGTGTGTTTGTTTTTTAGTTTATATTGACTAGACCTGTTTGAATTGGAGAAAAATGAGATAGTCGAGTTAATAAAGTTTAATGTGTAAATTTGCTTTGTAAAGTCAGTCTATGTCAGCATAAAGTTTTTAATGTTCACTGATACAGCCGATGTACAGACATATCCGTTTTTGTGTTACACTGTCGACAGTCGAAAACAAAACTAAAATTACTCAACGGAAGGACTTTCGCCTAATATTTCGCAACGAAATGTAATCGTATATATTGTGGTCGATCACTGTTTGAAAGAACAAATCTGATCAACCCAATTCAACATTTTATTCTCAACTAAATCAACATGTTAAGCTCCTTTAAGGGGGTTAATTTATAAAATCGCCCAGAACCGACAAAATACTAAAAGTACATACAAATGAACTGGCTATATTAATTTTATTATATTAAATACAATGATTACCTAATATTTGTAAGTTATATCAATATAAACCGAATTATCGCCAAAACATAAGGCGATTGTCCAAATTTAAGTACAAAAAGCAAGTAAGTCTGTTTAAAAATTATGTACACAATTATTAAAATTTCCATAATTTAAGGTTCCAACTATGGTTAATATATATATATATATATACGATAATGTTGAGTGAAGATATACGTATGTACACTAAGTTCAACAGAGACCAAAAACGTCACTAGATTTGCTAACGTCATTGTTTTCAGGGTAAAAGCTACACATTTAATTTTGAACAGAACTGATCTTTCAATGACGTGTTATGAAATTAATCTGTTCCCGACTGATAACTAATATTAAACACTGTTCCAGTTCACAAACGAGTACTCAGAATCTAGCTTTAACTAAATACAGTCCAGTATTATACACGTATACACAATCCTCGTCCTTTCAAACTTCACAACCATATAATCACGTTACTTTCATATAACGTGGTTGGAGTGTGCTATACAGCCCTCATGTCAACGCCAGAGTTACGTTTTCCTGAAACGTATCTTCGGAGGATGTTATGTTTATGTGACTTTAGTGTTAATTTATGCTTATTATGAAAATTCAATTGTTTTATTTCATTTGATCAAACACGCGGTAAGCGAGAGCATGTGCTTACCAATTAGTTTTTATTATCGAAGTTATATCGTGGACTAGAACTTCACACAACGTCGTTGGTGATTTTGGCAGCGGGCTTAGGGCGGTCGGATGGCTTAACCATCATTTCTACATTCTTTAACGACGAATACATGTGAATGCTGTTCCACTGAATACCGTCGCGCTGGAAGTAGTTGCTGTGGAAACCTTTGTGGTAATATTTGCCGTTGAGATGAGAATCGAAGCAGTTGTTGAACCACCAGGCACCATGGTAAGCCTTTGCGCAGTTGTCATAGTAACGACCGTCGTTATCTTTATCATGCGTACTGAACATCATACCGTCGTGATTTTCCCAATATGATGTCAGGGAATCGCCAGCGTTTCCGTGGTAACCACTAACATGGAGTCGGTAGTTTTCCTTTTCCCCTTCTACACTGAAATGGTCGTACTCGGCATATAAATGTTTACCGGTCCAATCTTCCATGTCCATGTGAACCATTGTGTCGTCTGCAAAATATAAGAGAAGAAACAATATTATAGTTTGCCAAGTTCAATAACCTTGAGGAACATGAAAACATAAAACAACTCTTCTTTCAAACCAAATTATTTGTTATTTCAACCGGGTTAGAGTAACGCGAGATCTGTTCAGCTTCAATGTAACCGACATGTTTTAATAACAACCTTGAAACATTAATACACGTTGCCAAAATGCCTTAAAGCAGGTTATAAACTTTGTAATCTAATCTTCTATACAAAGGGTGCATGTAGTCTGATTTTGCTAGAGGTTCTGCGACCAACCCCCAGTTCGAACTTTCTTTTTGAATTTGTTGTAGGCCTACTAATAAATGTTTTTCTAGATAGCGAAAAAATGATTCCTGCACATTGCTCGACGACCCCTTTTAATACCTTAAATGCCACGGAAGATTACCAGGACCAATCAAATGAAATAAATACATTCTGATTAACTCGTAATTTCTTTTTCGTCATCAAACCCTTTGATTATTTCATCGCCCACCAGGGGAGCGATATCGCGACTATTTGGGAAATACGGCTCTCACACCTCACTCCCAATTGGTTACACCACAGACAATCGAAATATAGATCTAAATCAAATGTTATCATATGTTTCTGATATCCGATTCCTTTTGTATTGTGGAATTAATAAATGGGGGATTATTTAAAGTATATTCAGATCTAAATTTGTTTTGATATTAAATATATGTTTTAAGTTCACGCAGGGCAAATAGTAAAATGAATATAATACTTATAAGAATAGTTTGAAGTAGGTTCTATATATTTCATGCTCTAATATTTCTTTTGGCTTTCAATATCCAGGTCAATATCCAGGCTACAGAGTTATTTCAACAGGCTGTGATTATTCAAGCTTGTCTGGTAAATGGTATTGAATAACTGTGTTAGATATTGAATTTTCTTTTAACAATACATGGTACGTTAACAATAATCTACTCTTCATAAACCACTTAAAACTATACTCCGTTCACATTTTGAGATATATAAGATCTCTATGTTATTAGCTTTACCTATAATTTGTCAAGAGTATTTTTTAAAATCCCATTTCATAATCTTAAAGAGACATGTTGCTTAGATCAAAATGTCAGATGCGTCGTTTAAGGGTTCGGAAAAGTGAGGTGTTGTGCAATGTTGCGGGTGTCTTGGGGAACCATGCTTAACTATGCCTGAAATATGTAATATTTCAAAGACTGTTTGGAGCCGCGATTACTGGACGCCGAGAGTAACGCTATTTCCAATGTTGCAGATCTATACCCAAAGTCTATTTTACAATATACCTTTGATATCGCATGCCACAATTGATATATGACGTAAATAAGAACCCAAATAGTATAATTTATTTTACGACATATATTTTTAAAACTCCAACAAAAATACAAAATAGATAGCATGCTTTATGAGGGATATATAATATTATCAAAACTATCATAAAACTAAGATCATTTTACAATATCCTGTATCAGAAAATAGACATTTTATCTATTACGTAGATTTGTGCATTTTAAAGAAAGGTATACCATACACCTAGATCTATCTATTGGAAGTCCCGTGTGTATATTTTATAATACAAGTTTCTAAAGACTAAATACAACAGACCTATTGAAATCAACCTTAATAGTACACTCACTAAGTTTTCTTTGAAATGATTTCATTGTTCGACAACTCAACTAATGTAAATACGTAAATAATCACTTATGTATAGGTAAAAGCAAAGTGGGGCGTGTTTTACAAAGCGCGACTCGTCCCTTTGACAAATCGGTCGCTGTCGACAACCAAATATTGAATCAATTATATCCGAATAGTTGTTATGTTCAACACAGAGGGGTGAACACCTTAGATCCGCCATTAGAGTGTAGTGTTCCGTCTTTCATGTATTAATAGTTTTAAGTTTAATTTGGGATAAATTGTGATGAATTTCAATAAAAATGCAGGTGTAATTTTGGGAATATTTTTGTGAACATATCGTTAAATGACAAAATGTATCGGCGTAACGGACCACCATCTCGAAAGGAGATGGAAACCCCTCGTTTAGAACTAAATGTATGGAGGGAACCCCGAGAAGATGGCTGGGAACACACTAGGGTAGAATTAATGGATCTGCACGACCACCATGTTCACGGTATAAATTGTGGATGTTTCCCGAAAACCAGCAATAGTTTTATTCCTTCCATGATCTACGACGATGTGCGCTGTCCCCATTACGAGAACGAAAATCTTATCCAACCCGGACAGCAACAGATGCTGGCGTATCCATGGACGGTTCAGACGTACGCACCACCTCGGGATTTGTATGGGAGAGAAGCCAGGGGTTCCAGTAAGATGTCCATCGGATCCTTTTACCGGACACCCTCAGTTCAGTCAGCACCAGCGAAGGTTCTAGATCGACCAACAGAATCTGCTTCCCTGAAGAAACGAAAACCACATGCACCGTTCACGGCGCCGGATAAACGCGACCGTAAATTCCAACCACCAGCATCAGCAGATTCATATAAATCGCAACAACGTATTGCGGTCACTCCCAATGTAACGACAGCTGACGGAGACGATTATTCTATCATGAATCCTGAAATCAACGACCCCGACAAACCTTTAGTGACGCAATTTGATAGTGTTAGTCAAGTTGCTACGATAGGTCGCCATGATTTGGGGGATTTTAAACAACCTAGAGATAGAAAGCAGAGGGGTCCACGCCTTGACAGACAATTTATGTTAACTCCTCCGCGACCAGCTCTCTCTACACCAGACCCGAGACCAAACAGTATCACTAGTAGTTTTAAAAATAGTCCAAGAAGAATATTTACAGGACAATATGTGGATCCAAGTAAGTATTAGACAGTTTCCTCAATATCAATTTCTATGAAATTATTATATTAATAATTTTATGTTTTAGAATTACAGGAGCCACAGTGGTTTCGTGAATATTATTAAGGAAGTCCCGGTGTTGGCCAAGACAGTTCCTATGAATTTTTTTCAGCCTGGTTTTTTAGTCGCCCGGTATTTGACAAAAAAACCCGTACTTGTTGGCGTGCACTGAAAAGAACCCCTGCTAGATGGATTTCGACGAATAGATCTGAGGAAAATCTCCTTCATAAAACACTCCATAGCATTAGCCCAGTTGGTGCAGAAACGTGGTTAATTCGTAGAATTATATCAACACTCATTAAATTAACGCCCATTTCAGTGATATTTATTGGTCTGTGTTTTCTAACTTCAGGAAGTGGTCATAAATATGAATACGACATTAAATATAAAAAACACAACGTACAGGGTAACAGGAAAAAAGTTCTAGCCGCTTTTTAATGGATATTTTATAAAAGTCTGAACTGGTTTAAATAAATTGAACTGATCATCAGAAGATGAGTTCTTTTGACAACGGCCTTGGCCTGTCTAAGAGAAATAACCAATTAAGTGAGTTGTGTATGCACTTGTATTTGAGATTTGATCACATGCAATTTTTAACATGATATCTTTAAAGATGTAACCACGTGAACCTGTGTTGAAGACTCTTCTACAACGTAATTAATTGAAGGGTTGTGTGAGATTTTTCTAGAGATGATATCAAGTGGACATTTGTGTGAGATTTTTCTAGAGATGTAATCAAGTGGACATTTGTGTGAGCCATTTTTAGAGTTTTGTTTTGGAGTGAATAGAGGAGAGCAGCCTTTCCATTAGCGTGGTTAACTACATAATTTTTCGTCGGATCTTCAGATGTGATTCTATATATTTTATGAAACTAATTATGTCAATTTAGACGATAAATTGAACTATAACATATGAATATTTTAACATGTAATTTAAAATTTAAGTACATGTCATTACAAACATTATACATGATTATACAAATAATAATTACATACTTTGTTTTGTGGTGGGTAATGATAACTAGAATATGGTTTAGTATGGAAGCGTATAAGGGTCAATAGCGCGATGGATACCGCGATATTAATAAGGTAATGTGTCAACATATTATGATCGTTGCAATTATTTTAACCCCGAAAAGACTACTTTTGCTGAGTAAATTAAATCAACGCACTATGTTGTTGGTCATCATTTCGCTTTAAATGCGCACGTGTGCTTTAAGATATTTTAACGCAAACGTTCACATTGTTATAAGTAAATGACGACATACAACATACATGTAGCTCGTTGATTCAATTAACACGGCAAAAATTGTCTTTTTAAGGCTAAAATAATCTTTTCAGGTGTAAAATCATAGCAAAGATCCCAATATGTTGACATATTACCGCATTAATATCGCGGTATCCATCGCCTTATTGACCCCTGCTTTCATAGTTTAGCGATATCTTTATTTTATACAATTGAATTGCGTTAACACGATCTCAACAATCTCGAGATTCTGGCGAAACATTGTGTTGGTCCCGCTAAATTAGTTCCATAATTCAACTAATAATCTGTCTATAAAATTAATTGGTCTATCTATACGCTTGTCTGTCTTATTTCGAGATGATTTTATGGTATCGTGTGCATAAATATGGTATCGTGCGTTATCATCATATATATAATATAAGAAAACAGAAATGCATTTTGATATTTAACCAAACAGCCCGATACCTACCTTGTGTTGTCAAAGCATGGATGTAGTCATTTCCTAACCAAAATTCACCTTCTAAATTACCAAAACCTTCTTTATATTCCTTCCATTTTCTGAAGAAATCCACTGAACCGTCCTGTCGTTTCTGGATAACAGTCCATCCTGTTCAAGAAAGACAAATATCGTTCAAATGAATTCAGACTAGGTCATATTATGGTTAAAAAATGAATTACTTAAATATTGGACGGAGTAACATAAAATAACAACAAATGGACACGTACGAAAACATCAAAGCCATAATGAACTTATATAGCATTTATAATAGTTTCCTAATGGTCTGTGTGCAAGGGCAGACAAATGTTGAAAATGATTAAACTTCACATTTCCTGTTCAGGCTAATAGCAACAACATCGACAAATGAATTTTAATTCGTACATTGTGCCACGTATTATTAAGCAAAATAACTTTGTACGCGCTATTAGAAGATTCTAAATGCCAAGATATTTACTTATTGCGTGGCATATTTATTTCACATGCGTAAACTTAATGTAAAGCCTTGCATTGTGCTATACAATATCTACATGCAATAACTATTAAGGGCACAGCACAACAAGACATAAAATAAATATTTATAGCTTAAAACAGTACAGACGACACGTACAAGTGCATTGCAGGTTGAAAGCGCGGTTAAATGAATGTTACTACCCTTATAGGTATAAACAAATTTATCTATATTTATATACAGATTGACCGTAAATGTAATCATTTATGCAATCTGCCTTCAAGGAAGTAACCACCATATTTCAGCCATTAAAAAACCTAATCACCACTGAATATAAATGTTTAGACTACCCAGAATTGATTTATCTATGATTAACTGACTTCATGTACACGAACAGAATTTACTAAACGCAAATCATATTATTTTGAATCAATTACTATGAAATGCTAATATAATGAAAATTACGTATTATCTCTCTTTATAGAAGAATTTCACCACGGTAGCTAAGCATAAAAGTTTATTTTTATGCGATCTGTCTGTGTACTCTCCGTTAGTGAATGGTGTTTAAATATACGTGCCAACTCCCTTAAGTCAATGAAGAGTAAAATATCCAAAATTATACTTTTCCTTATTGTGTAGTTACAACTATCTAACGTAAATGAAAACACGTACAAATAAGTAACGCAACGCACCGGGGCATACCAGCATGCTGGAATTTGAACCTAAATGTTCTGGATTTGATGAGTTATTAATAATCCAATTTATAAGGATTTTGTAATTATTTTTGTGATAATTTTCTTTATTCAGAACACGTGTAAATATGCCTTAGAACTTTAGAACTGTGGTTTGCTTTATATGAAAAACAACTGAAATACTGGTGGTTGATTTGCACTTTCCGCCCCTTTTGGCTATGTTTACTGAATTCTTATTAATTATTTCATATAAAACACAAAATATAAAATCGCAATAATTTGAAATTAATAAATTGGTGCGATCACAACATAAACTGAATGAAAAAATATACTTATACACTAAGTAAATAAAGTAGTTACTTTCGGACTACTTTTTGTAAATAAATTGTCAAGCCATGCTTTTGCAAATTAAGAAATGCAACACCTATAGTATAGCACACAAATCTACATGTAAATGACACACAACCGTGCAAACTGCAGACAACAAATCAATGAAAAACATATAGGAAACGAGTAAAGTAAGTAAAGAAATTAAAAACAAGCCGGTGAAAACATTCTCGCTTCATGCAGACATCCTTACCTATCTGACAACTATATAGATAATATACCAACAGCCTGTATACTACCATCGTTATGTATAATATAATAATGATATATTTAAAAGGACAGTCCATGATGTCTCTGGAAACCCTCAATGTATGCAAATCAAACGTCAAAATCCGAAAAAATAACCATTTGTCTGGTCTAAAAGTTGAAAATTCAAATATTGAACCGTTCGGATATGAACGAAAGATTTGTTTAGTTATTAATAGGTCTACATGGAATTTGGCGACGATTGCTTACCACTATAATATTGATTATCCAGCCAGATACATATCGTGGAGGCAGGCTCTTACGGCCAGTGAAAACTAAGATTTGGATTTCTTCTACAGATTTCGGTCAATTGTAAATGGACTAGGAACACTATTTCTATCAAAGAATAAGCAAGTTTTATTCCCCAGAACATATCTAAGACTGTCTGTTTAAATTAAATCGTAATGATCCTTCATCTGGATGATTACATGTACAATAAATAGATATTTTAATTTAGAATAAATCGACCACTATCAACTTAATAACCCTGTGCTATCAGTCAGAAACATCTAAAGAAACGTTGTCCTTCTTCGCTAACATCCCTTGGGCAGGCACTTATCCGCGATTGTGATTTCCGGAAGTCATCCTTTGACAATATAGACCTCTGAACCGACAGGTATCTCGAAGTACTTCTGAACCGATCAGTTATATTGAAAGGTTTATGAAATGATCCGTTAACTTTTGAACCGACCGGCTATAATATTGATAGAAGTTTGCGGGTGTGTCTCGACATAACAAACTATACTTACCTGTCAAGTGCATCATAATGTGGAAAGTTAATTCATATTTTATAAGAATAATAAAACGCGATACATACCTGATTTAGCCTTGTATATTATATATACTATATATATTATGACACATTTAAACAATTTATGAACTTGCTGTAATTTGAGACTTGCTAAAGGTGCTTTGGAAAGAATGCATTAGATTAACAATCCAGTAAAAACATTCAACATACAAACATCAAAATACACAGGCGCACATGTCAATTCGGTATACACAATATAAGAATCAACTTGGCCTCAAAAAAAAGTCCCAACCCTTCTCTTTATATTTGTAAATTACAAATCTGAATTTCTCATTTAAACAAACATACAACACTTTCAGGTTATTTAATTAAGCGGGTTGCTATTTGTTTTCATGGAGAATTATGTGGATCGAATTGACATTAGATACACTCAAGAAAGAAAAGAATACAAGAAAGGAAATGAACATAATATTAGTGGGTGAAAAGATGGTTAGTGATTATTAGTGTACACTCTAGTATAATATGGTGGTCAAAGGATGGTGTTGGACATCTATTTCAGTATTACCATTTATCCACAAGCTGTGAACAGCGTTGTATATGAAATTCCATTTCAAATACCGTCATATATTTATGGAATTCAATATAGATGCACTGTTATATAGCGAAGATTATCGGTGTTTACCTGAGTTATTAAAGACCTTGCAGTGAGCTTTAAAGGGTTTGTCTAACCCGTCTGGTTTAATCATGATGTAATAGTCTCCCTTGAATTTCATGCCATCCCAATTATACACTTCGTGACAATCTGAAAAATTCAAGAATAAAACATTAAGCGAGACCATTTATATTTTAAGCAGTTAATCAAATCTAAAATGCGTCCATCCTCATAAGCTTTCTCGCAATTTAAAGTAGTTTTTACTGCAAGGAGTAACCTATTTCCCCGCACTGGAGAACCAACGGCAATCCATTTCTTAATAAATAGTTATGTCTTCCAAATGGAAATTCACATTTTATGAACACGGCACCATTAATCAGAAATTATTGTTTTGTTATGTCACTTTGGCGTGGCTTTGCAGATCTCTATCGATAATGCTGATTATAAACCTATTTTATGTAATGTTCATAATAATCCCTAACAATTGTTTTGTTATTTCACTTTGGCGTGGTTTTGCAGATCTGTATCGATAATGCTGATTATAAACCTATTTTATGTAATGTTCATAATAATCCCTAACAATTGAAGGGACACAACTCTATTATGACACGAGGGAACGCCCTTCAATGAATGGCTATCGTCCGTTGAGATGGATGTTATGTTGCCAAGATTTGTTCATTACTTTGTCAATATGACAACGAGATAAAACCAGAAACATCGGCTCAATAACCTTTATGTTCAACAACATTCAACATTTGCTCAGACGATACGATTAGTAGTGGCTCTCGTAAGTGATAATTTTGTCAAACAGGCGGTGAGATAATATCAGAAGTTCGTTGACAGATGATACGAAAAGTTTTGGCTAAGAAATAAACAATCAGAAGAAGGGCGATGACAGAAATGTGCGATAGATATTGGCAAAAGTTCACTAGGTTTCAGTTAGATTACCACATCCCATACTTCAAAGTGTTTTAAAATAGGAGCTTAGATTAGAATCTTCAGTATTATAATATTTATCAGTCACATACCACCTTAGAAAATTCAAACTAAAACGAAATTCAACAAAAACAAAACAATATGTCACATACCACCTTAGAAAATTCAAACTCAAACGAAATTCAACAAAAACAAAACAATATGCCACAATGTTCATGCAATTACTAATTAAAATAATACATGGTATATTAATGTGATATGACCGAACCGATCATGGTTAGGCTTATTTAATTGGGTGACATTATGATGCAGTGTTTCATTGTGGTGTTTTATATGTTCTTTGTTCAAACAGTTACCTATTTAAAGAATTTCTATAAGACGTTTCTTAAAATAACTAATTGTTGATAAATTGAGGTTCCATTTAGATTTGAATATAAATAATCTATGTGCTGATCAGGGCCTAAAATAAGGTTAACTTCTCAGAGCACGGATTTAGAGTCGACCGCCCACGAGCGCCGCAGGCGCGAAACGCGCCGGCGGGTGGTCTGGGGGGCTTCCCCCAGAAAATTTTGAAAATTGAGAGCTTGAGAGCTGTGGACTATTCTGGTGCAGTTTACATAGGAATTTATTTTGTCGCGAGCAGCTTTTTTCGCATGAAAACTAAGCACTAGGAAGACAACACATCACTTTCGTTACGAGTGAGCCAGGTGATCTGATCTGATCTATGCAACTGACCACACCACAAGAACACAAGAAGAAACACCCAATTAGGGGTCAGGAGGCATCGTTGACTACACTTTTTTTTAGAGCACTACACCATTTTTCTGAGCACGGTTTTTTTATTTTCGAAGCACGGGTTTTTCATTTCGAGGCACGTTCGTGCTCCAAGGCACGTTATTTTAGGCCCTGGTGCTGATTGACAGAAGACATATTCATCATTTCCAACAACTTAAGTTGTAATTAGAAATATTTAAACGCAAACGGCAGACTTTTAGAAGAGTGTTTATTGGGGGTGGCTAGATGCCAAGGCGCTGTGATGAAAACGTTTATCCTATATATAAAGTTTAATATACCCACTTAAAGCGACGCCCCGCGTCTTATCCACGGGTTTGGAATAACTCTGTCGGAAACCATGATAGCCTGATTCTCATTTATTGTACATTATCATCTCATAATCCTCCTATTCTTATGTTTTTACCAGAAGACAAAATGCATTAAAGCCACTTTACCAGCACTTTTAAATCAAACATGGTGCAGATTCGCACTTTAAAATGTCAAAAGAAACGAATCGAAATGCTAGACTCCTTTTGATAATTTTCATATAAAGATGCTGGATATCAAAACTTAATCGATAAATTGGGCCACCCGATAAGTTGGGGGTTGGCATTTACACCCCTTTTATCTTCTGGCTAGACACATAATTCACAGGGAACTTACTGTAGAGTGGGCAAATAATCAGAAAAGACAGCTTAACAAAATGATCAGATCGGTTATAAGAATGGGAGAAAATACGAAACATTTCAGTGTTCTCTATAAATTTATGTTAAAGGAGCTATATCGCTATTCTTTTGGAACTGGAAATGGACATAAAATGGGTCGCGACGTATATAATAATGTATTATGAATGTATATACTCTGATTTACATTCAATCGTTTCTGTTTTCCTGTAATTTCTAATCATTTATGTTCAGCGAAATACGCGAAGTGTCCGAATTGAATGGCAGTCTTTGGCGTCTGGTTATTCCAGTTTACCGATAGTATTCTCCTGTGGGGTATGTTTAGCCCCGTTCATCGAGTCGCCTCAATACAAATGGCGATCGAAAGCATTCTGTCATGTGATTCGCGTGCCAATTTCAAAATTTTTATTTTGTCTTAAATATTGGACACGAGAAGCCCATCTTTTCGCGGTAAGATAACAGCATCAATGTTGATTTAAATGGACCAATAAGTCGTGCAATTTTGAAGACTGTGGATAATATTTAGTTAGCGACTAGGCCTTTAAAGTTTAAGTTTGTTACAGTATATATTAACGTTTTAATAAAAATAACAGCAATTGCACAAAATCGCTAACCGATATTTGCACGTACGATAATAACTTGAAACCAGTGGCAACAATCAAGACCACATTCGAAGAAATAGGGATTGTAAAATTTGAGCTATTTTCGCTTTAGTTTGGTACTTTAATATGCTGTTAAATACAGAGAGGACTTGTTAAGTTCAGCTTTTATCCAAACTAAAAAAGCCATTTTTATAGCGGTATAAGATGTAATAAAACACAACTTCAATCAGCGAGATAAAAGTTGTGTAGAATAAAATAAATATACTCTATGACACGTGTTTATTAAAACTATATCCACTCTGTTTCTTGTGATATTTCTTAAGGGAATACAACTACGATAAAATAGAAGATATTTGGATACACACCCTATAGAACAGGCCACCTTAAAGATGTGTAACGTGCATTTAGTGCCGTCTACCATCTTAATTCTAAACACCTTGTATTGAAAGATGTATTGTTTTAACTTGTTTTTCTTTCGCTTGATTAAACTTTGTCTGAAACAGTAAATGTTATCAGACCTTTGACATCATTAGTTGTCGCCTGTACAAAAAAAACGTCGTTACATTTTCTTTAAAACAATTTCCAATTTCATAGAGTATTGGTGTCCTTGAAGAACAACCCAGTCAGTATGCCTTCACGAACAGTCTGGGATAGAAAAGAAAATGTTTCAGTAAAGGAAGCCACGTTTTCAAAGAACATCAAGAGGATTAAAATTCCTTTTAAAAGTCTAAAGGCGAAGGGTTTAAACTAAGAAATAACCATTACTAAAATAATCTCTAAAGGCACACCAAAATATTCAGGATTACGTGAAATTTTTCTCAAGAAAGTTTACGTAGTGCGCATTTATTATTATTTTGTTAACCGTTTCCATTTCTGCACTTATTCTATAGCCAACGAACAATATGTCTACTATGTGAAAACAAAATCGTAAACAGTCTATGAGCCTATAGATGGCAAACGTGAATAATATTTTAATAATACCCAAGCTGAGACATTTGAATAACACATATGGCGTCTTCGTCTTTGATGAAAGAGCAATGAAGAAAAAAAATGGTTTAGTTGGCGTCTGCTCCTCTATAGATCACTTGAGATTAGCAGACGATATCTACCATTGACTATCCAAATCACCAGTTTACTACCTTTTAAGGCTTCGGTGAAAGAAATACAAATGATAGTCTATCAACAGCCGGCCCATTAGTACGGCCATTTTGACACTCTTATATTCAATCAAAACGCAATAAACTGTAAATTATTTCTGACCTACACGATTGTTCAAAGCGACTGTGTGGTAGAATTGTGGATTTGCCGACATGTTTAACAATAACGAACAGAAAATCGTTAGATTAATCAGACAATAGTTTCTTTTTACGGCCAGGAATTAAAAAAATTGACAAAAGTAGAAATAATCTTTGATGTAGATTAAAATGTCTAGATAATTCTCTTTTTTTTTGTAAAATCAGATTATATTCGGTACATTCATTTCATGGATTTAGGACTTATGGCCAACAAAAGTATATTATAATATAAATTTATAATATAAATATTGTATTATAGTGTAGGTAATAATCTTAAGTCAACATAATAGAAATTTTGTACATTGTAATGAAGGTTTGTTAGTTGAAAACTCTCATAGGTTAAGAAGTTGTATCAGGAGAGAGAGAGAGAGAGAGAGAGAGAGAGGGCGGGGGGTCTCACTTAGAAGAAGATGCTGCTAGGTAGAAAATTATAAAATGAATACAAAACTAAAATGAACCATTGATGTAAAACGTTTGCAAAATATTAGTCTGATTACAATGCACTAGTCTTCGTTAGTTCCACTTTAAAATACCTATCAGTGACGTGACAAAACTTTTTATCAATGAAATTAAATAATGTTTGCATCAAATAAATCTCTTATAAGTTAGTCGAAAGAAACAGCAAGATCATTATGGTAATGGCGCCCATCTATCATCAAAATGTCTGGGTGTTTAGTTTTACTTGTACAATAAATTCTCTCTTTAAATTTTATCTCATTCAAAATTGCCAGATTTCAGCACTGAGTCACATTATTTTATTTTTTTTAGAGATGTCAATCGTGTGCTCCCACGACCTTTGAAACACGAAGTTACTGGTGTTGCTATATACAGGTATATGTAATTGTGAAGGCGGTTATATA